AGAGAGAGAGAGAGAGAGAGAGAGAGAGAGAGAGAGAGAGAGAGACATAGGGACTGTACAAATGAAACCCTCTACTTCAGTCTGACTTTAGGCTGAATATTCATTCACAAATCATACTGTTTTCACCATTTGGTTTCTTTCAGCATAATTATCACAGGAAAAATGGAAATATTCCAGGCCTAGAGGAAGCATGTGGCACTTTCCCCCAGCATAGCTGAGGATCCAGCCAGATGAGCACCACACTCTGTGGTCTCCACTGTCAATATTACCTGCATGTTACTGACATCATTATTCGGGTACCATGCCTGAGTATGAGGGAAGACTCTAACACTACTCAGAAATATCCACTTACTTTGTTAGATAAAACCATATAAATCAATTTAGCAACTTTAAGGAACATTAATTAGTTTACTCTCAGGAGAATTAAATCAGTGCTTATGCAAATATTTACATGATTGTAATGTGAGTAAATCTACAACATAAGATTTTTTTTAAAATAAAAAAACAAACTTGTAAGTAGACACATTGTTGTCCTAATTCAATCCTGGGCAAGAAAAAGCACATTAGTGGAGAAAGCCAGTGAAGGTAGCAGTACTTCTTAGTGAGTACATTTCCTCACTCATAGCTTTTCATTTTATGCAGGTTGCATACCCCAAGGGAAGCTCAGTGAAGGGTGTTTCTGAAAATATAAAATTATTCCAAACATTTGTGTTACTTTATCTCATTTTAATGGTAGAAATTTATCTCACTATTTTTGTGGATCTTGTTTTTTCGGGGATATTAAACTAAGTTTTGTTACTTATTAGTTCTAGTGGTCAGAATCCCAAAAGTAAATTAAAAAAAAACCAACCAACAAACAAATAAACTTCAAATGATGAACTTTTAGGCAGAGCACTTATAACCCATTTGATCAATCTGAGAACAGTGTGGGTAGGAATTGGAAAATAGAAGTATAGAAAACAGCATCCATCCTTACAGTTAGGTGATGAGTCCCACTAAAACAGGCTGTTCACATTAATCAAATCTGGAAATTGTGTGGGAAAGAATAACTTCAGAAATTTCATTATTTAGACATTTAGTTAGAAATATCTAAAGAGGGGGCTGTGTTTTGCTTTGACTGCGTTTTGGATCCTTCAACTGTATAACTCAACCAAAGAGCTGTCTGCATCCCACCTCCACACCAGCTGATGTTTGAAGCAGAGACTTGCTATGGCTGTTTGAACTGAAAGACCAAAATGGACTCCTTTACAAGTTTGCAGTAAGTCACTGGTGGTTAATCCATAAACAGGACCCATTCTAACCATGGAGGTCTGGAGAGGGCCACGGACAGCCGCCTGTCTCTGCCTTCTTCCAGGACCCAATCTCATATGAATAACTCTAGCAACTGGCCCCTCACTGCCATCAGATGCAAACTCCTTACCGGGGGAGTGCTGAAAATGTAGAATGATGAGCCCTTCAGGGCCAAGAACTTGGATCTGAAGTTCTGAGGGCTGTCAGCTCCCTGGCGCCTCTCATTTACCCAGCCCATGTGCACCACCTGCAGAGGGAAACCTTGGAAAATTAAAAGCCAAGCCTTAATGAGGTTGTCCTAAGAACAGAATACTAACCACACTCAACATGCTAGGTTCCTTGACCTCAACCCAGTACGTCCAAAAAAGAGGGGAAATCAAAGAAGTCTGGATGAATCTACAAGTTCCAACTCAAGCAGACAGGATAGAAATATAAGACAATTCATGGTGAATACCCAGACCCTTGTAGGGTAAGGCTCACTACAAGCAGCTGAGTTGGGGGTTCCTTGTATGTCTTAAAAATGTGGTATTACCAGAGAAATGGCTCAGCTATTAAAAGCAAAGGATCATGTCCCAAAGGACAAAAATGCAGTGTTAAATTACACTCTATGAGGGGTTATGCAGATGAAAAAATAGCTAATTATATTTTCAGTATTTATAGTAATCATGTAGCATCATATAATGTGAAAAAATGATTAAGGGTTTTTTTTTTTTTTACAGTTTAACTACCTAGCAGTGAAAAATGACATTAAACATAAGATTCTTACAACTCAAATAGTTTCAGCCTCATTCTACAAAATGCAAACTATAAGATCAGAATGTGGTTCAGGTGTATAATGGAAATACTGATACAGTTTGAGAATTCAGTGAAATGATTTCAGCCATATTAACAAACAACCCTCATCTTACCTTAATTTACATATGACACATACTTTGTAGTAAATGGTATTAGTAACTTCCGTTTAACTTTCCCATCTCCCCATTTTACCATTTCAAGGACAACCAATTACCTAAAAAAATCCTTATTAAACAAACAAAACCTAAATTAAGACAGAGTTCCCAATTATCCCCAACCTCATTCTTCCTTCTCTAACTTTTAGGAAGGGTGTTGCTATGTAGTCCTGGCTGTCCTGGCACTTGCTATGTAGAAAAAGCTGGCCTCAACCTCATAGAGATCTGCTTGTTTCTGCCTCCACAACGCTGACATTAACGTTGTGTGCCACCATGTCTGACTTCTCAGCACTTTAAATGATATAACTTATTCACTATTTCAATGAACATTACCCAGGGTCCTTTGGGACTGATGACCTTGTGTCCAGAGTTTTGGACAAGAGTAGAAAGCTCATCAGTAATCCCCATGTTCGGTTAGAGCAGCCCTGCATCAGCTTTTGCCCAATAACTCCTGGCAGTATTCCCTCTCACACATGATAGACCGGCCCTTGAGGTCCGTATGCCAGCTGACAGCTAAAATACAAACCAGACAGACAAACATGGTTTCTGTTGGTAGGGATAGTGTCATTCTGTGCAAAGTAGCAGCCATGGCTGAACATAATCACAGTATGATATGTACTGACTGCAAGTGACTGCTACACAAATCTGTAACTTTTGTCATTGACTAGAATCTGCATGTATATGTCAAGCAATGTGTATGAATATTCAAGCATGTATAGTGCACGTGTTAACACAGGTGCATTTAACATGTGTACACACGCATGCATGTAAAGTCCTGAATTCAGTCTTGGCTATCATTTCTCAGTCATGGTCTTCCTTGGCTTTTTGAGACACAGGGTCTCAGTGGCTCAGAACTCGTCAAGTCTGGTAGGCTGACTGACCTGCAAGCCCTAGGACTCTATCTAGGGTGCTCCACAGTGGGTTACAAATAAACTCACCATGTCGAGTTTATTTCTTACAAGTTACATGGATGAAACTCTGGTCCTAATGCTTGGAGGCAAAACACTTTACCAACTGAGCTGTGTCCCCAGCCTTAACTTTGTCTTACATGTGCCCCAAGAAGGTGAGTTATATCAAAGTGATGTGATAAAGTGACAATATTATTATTTTGAAAATTTCATATATGACTTGGGATGGCTTTAACATAGTTGGCTTTTTATAATAAATGGGACTAGAACACACAATCTCATATGATAACCATATTTAACACCATGCCTTAGGAAAGCCCCTGGCACAATGTCTGCAGACAGAAGCAGGATGGCATTTGTACTCTGAGAAGACTGCTGAAATGTTAAGTCCTCCTTGAATGTCTTCTGGATCTGGCAACCTTCCAGACTGAAAGCGTGACAGCAACAGGGTCTTCTGTCTTCCTCCTCTTCGTATGACCACATACACTGCCATGAGCTCTGAGAAGGAATGTGACATGGCCACACAGAAGAGAGGATGGTGACATTCACGGGTGCATACATGAGTATGGATAAACAGGAGTACACAGGAGACGAACAGGCAGTGTAGACAGCTGATTAGTGAGTCAAAGATGAAGGTGTCAGTTCTAGATTCCTGGCTGAAATGGAAAAGCTGCAATCTTCCTTCCCACAGCAGCAGAATTCAAACAAGGATGAACTACCCTTGGATTCCAGTTCATTTGAAGGCCACCATGGGTTGTCAGAGCTACAGGTGTTAGCTAGGAACCAGTGCCACCTCTGAAAGTACTGCAACCAGCATTTGGCTCTCCTTGTCTGCTATGCCCTTCACGTTATCAGTGTCCTGGTGAAGTGGGTCTCTCTACACTTGGTCAATGCCATGCCCAGCACATAGTCAACAAGAATTCCATACTCAAGAGTGGCCGAGAAGCCTCTGCTCTAGCCATGGTGACAGCTCAGGTTAGTAAGCATCTGAATCACCAATTAGCTGGATGTGAACTTAATTAAATCCCATGTGTAATTTAATTCCGCCTACATCAGTTAGCCTAGAAGTAAGTTATAGCTTTGCTGTTATTCAGAACATTGACTGCCTTGTGAATCTTTTTTATGTATGTGTAGCTCGTTCATAAATAATCTACAGGAAGCTAATCTTATCTTTTACATTATGAATTTTTTAATGACTTGCTGCATGTTGTAAGAAGTGTATATCACACTTTGGTGAATGCTGACCTGATGGTATTATGTGACATAATTAACTGGGGACACAGGGGTTCACCATCTCCACAGAGGAGTGCTTTGTCATCTGTCTGTTCTGGTGCCACTTCTGTGGAAAGTCCTGTCTTTTGTTGGGTCAGTGTAGACACTTGGTTAAGCCTTCACCAGATTGTCATTACACATGTTTTTTTCTTCTACATGAAAAGCTGGTTTCCTGTGCTACTTACATTATTCTTGGAGTATTAATCAAGGCATCATCACATCATTTCCTTAAATTAAAATCCAAGTTAGAAATTTTAGAAGAAATTTATTTTGGAAATTAAATAAAGCTGTAGTTTTACTAGGTGATTACACTTTGATTTACCTAAAAGATTTCTCAGTTTGTGCTTATTGTCACTAGATTTAGGCTGGCTATGTGCACGTGTGTGTGTGTGCATACCCACACATACACACACACAAGCTCACAGGTCAGAGGTCAACAATGGCTGTTATTTCTCAGGTGCTTTTTTTCCTTTCTTTCTTTTTTTATCTTTTTGTTCTGTTTTGTTTTGAAATAGGGTCTCTCATTGGCTTGGAACTCACCAAGAAGACTCTCCTGGCTGGCCAATGAGCCACAGGGGGCTTCGTGTCTCTGCCTCCTCAGTGCTGGAATTACAAGCATGCACCACCACACTTTACTTTTTTTTTTTTTTTAATGTGGGTTTTGGGAACCAAACTCAGGTTTTAATGCTTTCAAGGCAAGCATTTTCCAAACTGAACCAGCTCCTCAAGCCAGCTTGGTCTTTGTTTTAGACAAGAGTGCTCCAGTTTGAGCAACTATTTATAAGGTTAGATGCTGGTTTTTGTACTAGCCTCTAGATTCTCTTTTCTTTTTATTTCAGTTTTAGCAGTTGTTAGGTGCCATGCTGGACAGTTTTGTGTCAACTTGACACAACCTAAAGTCATCTGAGAGGAGGGAACATTAATTTTAAAAATGCCTCCCTAAGATCGGGCTGTAAGCATGCCTGTAGTACATTTTCTTAATTAGTGATCAATGGCAGAGGGCCTAGCCTACTGAGGGTGGTACCATCCCTGGGCTGGCGGTCCTGGGTTCTATAAGAAAGCAGACTGAGAAAGCCATGAGGAGGAAGCCAGTAAGCAGCCTTCTCATCAGCCCCTGCCCTATTTGAGTTCCTGTCCTGTTTAAGCTCTTGTCCTGATTTCCTTTGATAATAACAGTGATCTGGGCATATAAGAGAAATAATTTCCCTTCCTCTCCAAGTTGCTTTTGGTCTTGGTGTTTTATCACAGCAATGACAATGGTAAGTAAGACAGATGCCTTTCCCCCCACATTTATTCAAATATTACTTGTTTATACCAGCAACCAATGATTGTTTAAAGTGGGGGAAAATAATGCTTTCATTTTTGAAGGGCTCAGTGTCAGCTCCCAAGACACATAACAGAGTGTCTGGAGTTTGGAGCAAATGTGTCACAGGCCCTACCAGCACACAAGCAGACGCCCAGGATGGCAGGGATGGTTTGAAAGCTGCCATATAGGATGGTGTGACTTCAGTGTCCAATGTAAGAACACCAATGAAACCTCTGGGCAAGTCCAAAGTGGTATCGAAATTTTCAGTCCAGAAATAAGTATATGAAGAAACAAAATCCCAGAAAATAAAAGTTTAGGTTTAGAATGCCCAGCATGATGTTGTTTTGCTGTACAGACGAAGGAACTGAGGTTGCCAGTTTTTTTTCAATGTTTCTGCCAGAGACGGACATAGCTGGCCTTAGAACCCAGGCTTTCACTAAGCAGGGCCAGCAAAGGAATGTCATGTGAGCAAAGTGTGATGTGTGGTAGTATTCACCAAATGAAGCTGATGTCTCTGGTGTGAAAGATGATTCATGAAGTACCTGCTCCTCAAAGAGTCTGCAGCCCGCAGCATTGCCATTTCCCTGTGGTCCCTTGACATCCAATGACAGGAAGATGTGAATTCCACAGTAAAGGAGACATGTTCTGGTCACAGGCCCATGGTCTTTCCATGTAGGCCAGTTGTTAGTATCCATCTGCAAATCCAGCATTCTCTGAAGCAAGTCTGGTTCATGTTCTGGAGACATGGCTTTCCAGTGGCATGCTGGAACCCACTAACCTCGCCCCTTCCAGAGGACTTGATGTTTCCACCTTGTTCATCATGAGAGATCTACTCTGTGGTCACAGAGACCCCAGCAGGCAGCAGAGCCCTGTGGTCCACACCAGATCAGCTGGGGGACCTGAGGACAAGGACTATCTGTGAAGGAGCTGATTCTCCAAGCACAGAGTCTGAGAGATGCTTCAATGTTCCGAGAGGCTAATAGAATTCAGTTTCAAAAACAGTAAATCATTTGCAGAAATAAGCAATACAAACCTAGTTGGGCATCCCACCAGCAACAAATAAATTGAGAAAATGTCTACGTGTGAACCAAGTGGAAGTGTTTTAGTGGAAAAATTTGTAAGAAATTTATTCTCAAACTGTAAAGTTAAGTGGGAATATAATAATTTAGTGTGGGAAAACATAGAATGAATGCTATTCTAGTTTGAAGATGTTTATAGAAGTATTACTCATAAAATAGCTAACCCCTCATTAATCTATGTAAAACACAAATATAAATGATAATTTATAAAATATTGAAAGTAATAACTTATATTTAGAAGAGTTATATTTAGAAGTTGTTTCTTTTTCCAGTGTAAAAATGCTGACTAACAGGTCCGATTGAAGTGCAAACTGAATTTCTTATCTTTCTCAGTCAACATTTAATTGAGAGGAATATTCTCCTGGGTGTCATTGTCTTGAATTTGGGTTCTTTTTATTATTAATTTTTTTAAAATTTATTTTACATTCTGACTGCAGTTTCCCCTCCCTCCTCTCTCCTGCTCCCTCCTCCCACCTCCTTTCTACCCGTTCCCCCAATCCACTCCTCTGTTTCTGTTCAGAAAGGGGCAATCCTCTCATGGGTGTCAACAAAGCATGGCATATAAAGTTGAGGTAGGACTAAGATCCTCTCTTTGTATTAAGGTTGGGCGAGGCAACCAGGTATGAGGAACAGGTTCCCAAAAGCCAGCTCAAGTGTCAGGGACAGGCCCTGATCCCACTGCTAGGAGTCCCACAAATAGACCAAGCTACACAACTGTCAGACATATGGAGAGGGCCTAGGTTGGTCCTATGAAGGCTCCTTAGTTGTCGGTCCAGAGTCTGTGTGCTCCTATGAGCCCAAGTCAGTTGTTTCTGTGGGTTGCCATGTCATGACCTTGACCCCGATGGGTTTTACAATTCTTTCTCCCTCTCTTCAACAGGATTGCCAGAGCTTGACCCAGTGCTTGGCTGTGGATATTTGTGTTTGTTTCTATCAATTACTGTATGAAGGCTCTCTGATGACAATTAGGGTTGTCACCGATCTGATTACAGGAGGTGGCCAGTGAATTTGGATTCTGATGCTAACCACTGTTTAAAGGGCATTCATAAGCACCAATTAAAACAAGAGTAATACATTAGTATTAGTTTCCTTAACTTAAGGCTATAACACTTGCTTCTGAAAACCTATGAAAGATCTAGTCCAGAAACCAATGAACTATAAATAATTTCCCCCTCATATATTCAGCCTCATATGTGACTAATAAGCATTCCATGAAAGGCGGAGCCAGGAGTACTCACTAAGAGCTGATGGAGAGCTGATGTCAATGAGGGGCCTGACCAGGGGAGCCTTGCCCTAGGTACTACATGATGTAAGAACACTGCCCAGAGTGGAGTGACAGGATGCCCCCAGTGATATTAACACCTGTTGGGTCAGCACCTTCTGGGATCCATAACAGCTTACAGATAAGTATGTCATAAACTGAATTCCACCTCTGTGTTGAGGACTCTACAAGAATGACTTGGTTGTAGAGCAGAGATGTTGCAGATTGAGAGCCAAATCATCCCGATCTATCTTTAGTTCCCTTAATAAGCACTCATGGCTCCCTCCATGTCTGACCTATCATCCTTGTGACAATAAGGTAAATCCTTTCAGAATTTATTAACAGACTGCTAGCTGCCACCAGTTCCAAAGCTGAGCACAACACCAGACAACATGTAAAACCTACAGCAGAGATTTCTCCACTTTGCTCTAAACAACCTATGTGATGTTCACATCACTGTATTTGAAAAGTGCCTTTATCTACGCGTTTCTTTGTTCTGTTATCGTAAAAACTTCAAGAAACTGAATATGGTATATCGGGGAACCTCCACCTGTGTTTCTGGGCCACGGCTACTGAAATTTGATTCCAGAACAAATTCTCATATTCCCTTTGAGATGAGAACTATGCTATTGAGTCAACAACATCATATAACAAAATGATCCCAAGTCACACAGGCCTTTCTCCATCCTAAATCCCCTCTGGGCTTACACAGTCCTCTCTAAACCCTGCGAAGATCACATTTTCTGCTGGATACAACCCACAGATAACATTTGTCTTAGTAAACACAGGTGATCAGAACAGTCCCCGAAAGTGTTTCCAAATAAAGAGCACTGAGTTCACACACGGGGCATGGCATACCAAATTCAGTACGATTCTCACTAGCATATTCCTATCTGAATTTCACAAAAGGAAGCATCCACTTTGGGGATTTGTTATCCTACTGAGCTGAAGGCATGCACCTACCTGGTCACAGGGAGAGCAGCATTTATTTGCCATTTTCATCTGTAGAGGGAAGACAGCAAGGGGTCAATGTGTCACACACATTAATGCCTTCATTTTCCAGCCTGTCTAAATGGCAGCTGAAATTAATCAGCCCAGGAAACTTCTTTGGAAGTTTTTTTCCTTTATGCTGTGCTTATCTTCAAACCAGAGCAAACACACACTTACCATGATAATTCTCAAAGCATGAAAACAATGAAACAAAATAAAGTGTACAGACACACTAATGTCATTGTTCCCAAATAGCAGCCATTGAGGTGAGGGCAGCTGTTGGATGACAGATGTTTAGACATGTGAAAAAGAAATAAGGAAGATGGCCTCCACTCTGTGTCACATTAGCTAACTACAATGACCAATGGCCACAGTGAATAGTCAATTCTTTACTTATTTCCCCAAACCCTGTAGATGTCACTTCCCATAATTTTACCAGTAAAGAAATGGAAGTCCAGAAGAAGATGTACCCAAAACTGTGAGCCCACATGTCTGCCCTGCCATGCTGCCCAGGAGTCACCTTCAATATTAATTTAATCAGGAGAACCCTGCACTCACTGGCTTTCTTCAGATGCCAATCCAGCCCCACCCATCTCCTTTTTCTTTGCTTATTTATCCTTTTACTTGTTTAATTTAAAAAATATTTATCCATGTAGACCCTAGGGGTTCAAAGTGTGGAATATTAAAACCAAGAATGTAGGAAGGCACTTCTTTATACAACCGTAGAAAGATGGCTCCTTGTGTCCTCAGAGTAGAAATCTCACATATCACTGCATCTCTAAACATTTCAGATTATTCAGCCAACTTCTGTCTGTCAATGGGCAGGGTAAGGCAGGGGATGAGGACTGAGGGGGAATCAGGCACTAGGCTATGTGGTACAGAGTATCACAGGTTGTGCCAGGCTGATGAGAGCAGATAACAGAATGGAGTGCAAACACACACCATGGGTGTTGGAGTGAATTTGGGAGCTGGGCCAAGCCTTTGGTTAGGGGCCAATCCTGCCACAGCTACACAGCTACAGCTTGTCATACTTCATGATGTTCTCCTCCTCCAAATCATCTCTATTTATTCCTCTATTTTACAAATCATACTGACTGAATATTAAACATATCACACCCAAGGGCACAGAATACTTTTTTTCTGGCCCAGATGCCTTCAGTGAGACACAGCATATGTTTTTGGTTTGGATAAGTCCTTTTTAATATTTTAAAAACAAATGTTCATGGTTGGGATATGCATGTGCTTGTGTGTGTGTGTGTGTGTGTGTGTGTGTGTGTGTGTGTGTGTGTGTAAGTTTGTGCTCATGTTTATGTGTGCACCTATTTGGGGAGGCTGTAGAAAATCCAGGGTATATATATTGTATTTTTATCCCAGTTAGTAGTTTATCCAAATAAAAATGCCACATTCTATTTAACATGTTTGTATTTACACACACACACATTGTGTGTGTGTGTGTGTGTGTGTGTGTGTGTGTGTGTGTGTGTGAAGAGAGAATGGGAGCGATGGAGACACAGACAGGGAGAGAACTAGCCTGAAAGTTTCCAAATGTCTACTATATCTAGACACGTTTTAATAGCTTAAGTTTTAGTTATTTGAGTTAGATATTTGATCTGTTGAGACAAGTATATATTCAGCATGCAGACCCAAACTTGCAGTGGGTTAATTATACTTGGAAAATTCTCATCACTACTGCTAATGCAAACATAAGTGGGAGTAAGTCCGACTCACATGTTGAAGTGTCAGGTCACTGATGTTGGCTGAGATTGCACGCAACCAGTCAGCACAGTCCTGGGCAGTGGGGAACTGAAGGACTCCTGTGCTAGTTCCATCTAGGGCCAGCACCTCGAATGCACTGGACCTACAGCAGAAGAGAACACCAGGGAGGCTGTCAGCTGAGAGAGGATGATACCTGCTCTGGTCCATCCAGCTGGGGACAGGGGCTTCCAGCCCCTGCTGTCCTATGCTCAGCTTATGTCCTATGCTCAGTCTTAATCTCCTAGTCAACAGGCATAATAGGTTAGCTTTGCCAAAATGAAAACCCACACTGAACTCCCTCACTAGGAACCATTTCTAATTCAGTAGGCACAAGGCAAGCAGGGCAGATGGGAAAGAAGCCTTGCTCTGGTTGAAATCTCAGAGTTATCATTTTATAGGAATCCTAGCCATAATTATCTTGAAGCCCATTTACCTCATGGAATCCAACATAGCATCAAACAACACACTCACTGCTGACTGGGACTGAAACTTCCCAGTGCATACACTCAGGATGGACAGCGGAGCTCTGGAGAAGCCCCATGTCCTTACTTTGATGTGGACATGGGGAGTGACTGACATGAAGCTGACTCAGTCCCAGTATCTCTCCTTGTTGAGAAGTCCTTAAGACTTATATCGCACATGCATCCACTCTAAACTGTGTTGTTATAACCTCTCAGCTATTGAGTTCTGCTACCCAAGATGAGGACTTAGGGGAGGAGGGCTACCGAGCCTTTCCTGTGTGTGAGCAGCTCTCAAAACAGCTTCCCACGAGTGAATAATCTTTCTTTTTAAAACAGATATCTCCCTGACTGTCCCTACCTTAATTAGCACTTCTTGAATGAGAATGAAGCATTTAATTATCCCCGGCTGATTCTTCAGCCTGGTGGAATATGAAGGGTGATGAGTGTATTTTTGAAAGTATCACTAGAGGACGAACCTAAGATGAAGGTGAGTTTTAAGTGAAGGTACAGGCAGCTGACAGGATGGCTTTGAGGAATGGGCCAGGGGTGTCACCACAGCCTTCACATGGATGTTTCTAGTTGCTTCTTCCCATTGCGTCTTCTTGGAAGAGCCATTTGTCTCTAACTCCTTCATTTCAAGGTTCCTTGTTCTCTGTATAGCTGCCTTAGACCTGCATGTTCTATGACAAATTATCACTTTCTCTATGTGGCACTGAACAACATTAAAAATATGTCCTTGTGCTTATTTTGGACACTGCAAGGACATGGACTTTATTCTAACTGCAAGACGAAGTCACCAGGAGTCTTTGAGCAAAGAAATAGCATGGTTAGAAATGGATGATAAATTTGCAAAAAAAAAAAAAAAGGCCAAAGGGACAGTGGGGCATATGAGAGAAATCTGGTAACTGCTGGAGTAACAAGGCAAGGAGAGGTGCTTAGGAAAGCCAGCCTCGGAAGGTGACTGGGGAGGGGAAATTAGTCAAGAGATTGGACTCAGATCATGGGACTAAGAGGAATCAACACTGAACACAAGGTTTGGCTGAATGCACAGAAGTATAGCTGTAATGTTTAGCAGCTGTGCTGGAGTAACTGGACCCAGCATGTGAGGAAGGCCAGACTCAGGACAGGGTTTGGGCCATCTGCTTGCTTGTGATGCTTCCCAAGTAGAGCTGGGAGTGGGTGGTGGAACAGTCAAGTGTGGGCACTAGGGACATGTCTTGTCTAGAAATAGAAAATGTGAGGTGTCCACTGTGCAGGGTCAGGCTGTGAGAAGGAGAGAGCTCACCAAGGAGCAACATGGAAAGTGAAGCAGCTGGAGAAAGGAGTAACCAGCAGAGAGAACAAGACTGACTGGCAAAGTGGGATATGCTAAGCTGGCATGTTTCCCTGAAAGTCATCCCCAAAGAAAGGTTTCTGCAACAGAAATAAATGTTGGTGTACTGACACTCTCTGTACACCAGATGTGAGGACTTAAAGACTCCTGCTGCCCCCAAATATAGAAAAGTAGTGCAAACCAACAGACGTGTAAATCACAACACAGGAACACAGGAAACATGAAGAAGAAAGGCAACCAGGCTGTTTCAAAAGACCAAAGTGCCTCATCTACTAAACACAGATACTAAAATAAGCAAAATGTCAGACAAATATTCTAAAGCTTTCTGGTAAAAATGATTGACAACTTGAAAGTGAATACAGAGTAGGTGATAAATTCAACTTAGAACATAAAGCAGGCGTCAGAGGAAAATGGACCTGGATTCTATCTCTATCATGCCTCAGGCAAACAGGAAAACAAGCCAGGGCTCTAGTCCTCATTTGTCAGTGGGGAGGGTACCGTCCACCCAGGGTGAGGATGGAAGACCTCTGAGGATGGAGTAAAGTCTAACCCTTTGTCTGGATCTGAATGGAATCTCAGTAAGTAGTGGTAATGGGACCAATAGAATTTTGACAGGATATGATTATATTTTATGAAAGTAGTATGTAAAATATATTTATACATCAAAGAAAAACTACTAAGGACATGGAAGATGGATGGAAATCTGCCATAGTATACTTGAGCTCTTACTTGAAATAGAGACCCTTGCCTCTTTCTTCAAGTTGCTGGAATGCTATACAGAGCCCCTTCTGCATCTAGGTATCATGAGATCCAAAGCCTTGTGCATACTCCAGCAAGGCTTTAGATCCCCAAGATGTCCCTCTCTGAGGACAGGGCTGTTTCCAAGGGAGCTATTGTACCCACTTGCATGGTTATCAGGCCTTATATACAGCTAACTGCCATTCACTCTCACTGAGTTGTGCAAAGCCCATGTAAGGCTGAAGGAATAGTTGAATTTTAAGCAGCAACTCCTTCCTGAAGGCTCCAGTTAGGGAGCCCTCTGCATTCCCTGGTGTTGACCATCCAATCTCACTGCAACATCCATATTCATGTTAGTAACCACACAATCTGCATATGAATTCCTCAAATGAAAACCTGCTGGATTATCTCAAAGCCAGTTGAATACAATGTATTGATTCTACAACCGAGTTCAGAAATGGTGCTAGGATATGACTTTGTTAATCAAATCCCTCACTTTTAAACCTTCATCTTTGTTTGCATCATAATTCATAAACATGTTATTTTATAACTTGTTCCACAAGACGTCTCCTTTTCATTTCAAGACCAAATGCTAAATGATGTCCCAAGTGTTTTTTGAGAAAACTTCATCAACAAATATATTGGCTTGTTAAAGGGTCTCGTGTACCAGGGAATTGCATTGTTCAGATGCTCATGGAGCTGGGACAAGATATGATTCATCCACACCATGCACATTGCTCAACATAGAAACAAACCCTCAGGTCACTTGTGCCTCTCTGTTTCATGAGGATACTGGCAAGAAAGTGAAAACAAGTTCTTAGCCACATGGAGTTTAAATTCTACTCCAAGGAGCCACAGGCAAAGTTTTCTGGCTAGTAGTCTACTGATTTTTATAGAGGTGAGAGAATCAGTGAAGATTTTTACTGGGTGCAGTGGGCAGAGGCAGGGGGATCAATTCAAGGCCAGTCTCAGGTGTAGATATGTGAGATCCTGTCTCAAAAAGAGAAAAGGGGGGAGGAGGAGGGGAGGAGGGGAGGGAGGGTGGAAGGGAGAGAGGAAGGGGGAGGAGAGAGGGAAATGGAGAGAAAAATCCTCAGATAGTTAAAACACAAGAATATGAAATTTTATACCCCTCTCCCATTTCTGTTCTTTAAAAAGATTTTTAAAAATTCTTTTTTGAGTACATGTGTTCTTGAACATATGTGGGTGGGTACTTTTGAAGGCTAGAAGGGGGCATTGGATAACCTGTAGCTGGAGTTACACGGATGCCCTTTTGATGTGTGTTTTCAAACAGGTCAACAATGAGCAAAGAATTCTTATGCTTTTTCAAATGATATATTACTTCTTGTATTTCTCTGTAAGTCTTTGAAGTAAAAAATTTAATAACATGGGAGGAAAAATTGAGGACACTTACACATCTTATAAACAATGGTATTGAAAATAAACAATAAAGAGAGCCAGCTGGCAGCTTCCTTTGTAATAAACACGGTATATCAGTTTTCAAACATTGCAATGGTGTTATCTTTACCTTATGAAGAAGGTACTATTATTGAGATCTAGAAACTGAGTGTATACATGGTAATCACTTACCCATGTTTACTTATAAGGTCAGGCAGGCAAAGGCAAGGGCCCACAGTCACCACCAACAGAGAGGAGGGGCTTCTGACTCCAGCCCTCTTTTTAGCTCCTGATAGTGAAGATGTCTGATCTGGAGAAACTGTAAGATCCCTGTGCACTGAAACCATGGCAACTGCTGCTTCTAGGAGCACACAGCTCATTCTTCCCCAACCACACAATTCATTTGAACCTGGTTTCTGTTTTTGGTTTGGTAATGCTACATTGGCTATGATGGCCAGTGGTCGTCATTTTACTCTTTCCTTCTGGGACAAGACCACAGCTGCAGACTGTAGATGCATGGGAGTCACACTGCTGCCTGGGGAAACTGGCAGGAGCTTTGAATAGGACCTTTTCTAGGTTAAAGACAAAAAACACTCTATGCCAGGAAACTACTTGGCTGGGAGAACTCTTTACCTTCTTAGGATCACATCTAAGATGAGAAGCAGAATGCATTCGCAAAGTGCAGCTTGAGGAGTCTCCTCTCAGCTCCACACATGGAAAACCCTCCATCCTAGGGAAGGAATCTGGGCAGAAGAGTATCCTTGGGAGAGACTTGGTGACAGATCAAAGGTCTATCAACAACAGTGTTCTTTTAAAGACCCCATTAGGAGCTCCATTACTATTTCTTAAATGTGAGATCAAAGTGAGAAGGTGGCAATCCACCAGGACCAGTTGCCATACCTGATCTGGGACTCCACACTCCATGGTGAAAGGCAGATCACAGATGCTGTCAAGTGCCTGGCCTGTGTAGCTTTGAGTTCAGACTATATTTAATGAGCCAGATTAAGCCCCAAGGTCACTTCACACACTGAGAGAATCAGGGCCTCTAGAGCCTTCTCCATCTCCTCTCCCAACCAATGCTCTCTGGGCCTGGTATCAAATTTCCTGACTATATACCTTTCTTTACTACTGTGAAAAATCCTGCCTCTGTGGCTCCCTAATTTTATGGCAAAG